TGACTGGCAAAACTTCCAACGCTGGGCACAAGGTCTGCTGAAACCCTCATCCTTTTTCAGGCCTTTCTGTCTGCTTCTCTCTGCTTCTGATTTCCTTTCACTCTCTCTCAATGTATATCTTATAGGCCCTCCTCAAATACACCACATTCTCACTCCCGTCTTCTCCTCCTCATTATAATCTACCTCCCCTCTCCAATGCGTCTATATTTCCTCTACGTTTCATTGTCACACGTTGATAATTTCAGTATCCTGTTGAGGCTTTTTCATCAGTTAGTAAAATAAAGACTTGTCCATTGTGATTTCCATCTGAGGGGCCCAAGCAGTGAGAGATATAAAATATCCTGAAACAGGAACTTTGAGGTGGACCGCAGGAAGGCGGAGAGGAGAATATGAGAAGGTCAAAAACCCTAACAAGGCAACATGCTTCTTCTGTGTCTGTACAACAACATAGATTAAAGCGGTGTGGCCTGGGTTTCTTGAAAACCTTGGACATTAAGGTCACCTTAGCATGCTGACGTATAACAGAATTGAACTAACTTTAAAGGTCCCATGTCATGCTTCTCCGGTTATTACCCGTCCCCGTGTGTGTTATGAAGGTTTGCTAGTGGAGCATCGCAGATAGGGGTGCCGCAGCCCCCTCAGCACCTCCCCCTTCCCGCGTCCATTCGCAATGTCTCGCTGTTCCGCAGATCCCACGCAGCAAGCAGGAAATTAACCCAGCTCACACTGTCTGCTCCTCGCAGTGGCGAGCCGCGCAACGTCCCGCCAACACGGCACCCAGACCACACGCAGCATTCTCATCTGTTTGTCATTACTGGTGTCATTTTCTGGTAGCTAACGCCATTTTAACACATAATCACTGATGTTCCATTGTAACGGTGGTAGACTCATCAGAACAGAGTGGGCGAGCTGACCAATCAGAGCACAGTGGGCTCACAGGGAGGGAGGGAGGGGGGGGGCAGGAGCTCCAACAAGTCGTGTAGGACAGAGAGTGAATACACATACTATACAGAGATGCTGTATGAGTAACCAATGTGAGTTTGGAAAATTGCACAATATAAATCTATTCTAGTATACCTCAACAATGGAATTATGATCAGTAGAAATGGCTATGACATGGGACCTTTAAATAAAAAATAAAAAGCATGAAGATAGTCAGATGACGTCTGTTCCATAAACACAATTGTTTTATATTTGCCATCGAAATGAACTTCCTCCTTCGGATATGCAACCACAACTTTCCCATGTTGGCTAAGTATAATTGAAGATTTATTTTATTGTGCAGTGTCTCTAATTATATGTTTGTGTTTTTCGCTTCTAAAAAAATGTACCTAAACCATGGAAGTTGCATGGACAACAATCAGCTAATTTAGACGGGGCACCCAAAATACTCTCGTTTTATCTGCAAAGGGCCATTTATGTGTTGTGTGCCAACATAATTTAAACTAAAGAGCATCTTGCCATGGGGCTTATGGTGTATTGCTAATATCATTCAAGCCTATGGTAATTTTAAAACAAGATAAGAACATTTCAATTATGGAGCCCACAACCATACATTTCTCTTTGAGTGCTCTAAAATATGTGTAACTTATGACATCCTCTATCCTCAAATGTACCTGAATGCACAGACAGAGAGTATACATAACCTATTAGCTACACATATTATCCCTCAAGTATTTTGAACAGTACAGAAATGTGAAAAGGAAGACATTTTATTTAAAATGTTCAGGGGTAGCAGTTACAGTGACCATTAACTGGCCTGTAAAAGTGAATACCACAGGCATGTAGAATATGCACAGTTCAATGAGGACCCTCATAGTCTTTGCCACATCATCCAGATGCAGTTTGGGTTCATGTTTGTACTTTATAGTTGCTTCCTTAATACAATAATGAAGTGCTTTGTACAATTTTAATATCTGATATTATATCTGCTTTTAATTCTGGGTTCTTTGTGGGCCTGTCAACAGAATGATTGGATCCTGTTTTTCTTATCTGCTATCTCTTTCTCTCTCCGAAGTTTGCCTACAAATAAGCTTGATTTGCATACACTAGTCAAAGTCATGTAGATAGGTAAAGGTCACTGTCTACTTTACATGTCACCATTGACACAACAACAGTTATGAGTTCCCTTTTTTGTTCATTTGTTTATGAAATCTGTTATGGAAATGTGCGGGACCTCTATGTATAAGGTAGGCTACTGGTTAATATAGACATAACCACACACACGCTACTATGCAACCAAACAAATATACACATATGAACACAGGAGTTAACATGGATCTCAACAATATTAGGCTATGGTGGAGATGGATCCAATATCTGCCTGTAGTATGCAAACAAGATGTAAAAAGCACCACAATGAACTAATCTCATCATCTTTGCAGTTGAATTTAAATCCCTTTTTGATCCACATTGACCAGACAGACATGAAACGCTATTGTCCCACACAGCGGTTAATTTCATGTATTATTCATGCTTCAGGAACATAATTAAAAACAAAAACTCTACACACCGGCTACGGTTGAAGAGACAATGCTTAGCCTCAAATAAATCACAAATATCCTGTAATTGTTGCTGACAGCCCCATTAATGGGCATACGGTGAGTCAGCAAATGGATGTATTTTTATTTAAATGTGTGTATGGTTCACCTCCTAACAACCACGTTTCCCTGCTCATGCGCTTCAGACTGCCAGCTGAGACGCCAGGCTCGTCAGTGTGTGTTTGAGAGTATAGATGTCTAGCTTCCGCTCCATCATTGTTGCGGTGTATCTTGACCTCAATACTGAAAGATATGTGTATTTTTCTGCCTTTGTATGTGTATACAGTATGTGTATGTGTCCTCCTGTGGTGAGCTGTGACCTCACCACTAAGACCTCTCTCACATGCCTAGGAGACTCGTAGGTGGGTGAGTGTGTATTTTCTCTGATCCATTTGAGAACTTGTGCTTCTACGTCAGCTGGCTGTGACATTTTGTCATGCCTCTTCACGGGGGTGGAGAGCGAGCGGCTAGAAAAAGACAACGTTGTTTCTAGGACCTCTGACATCAGAGGTCTTGTATAAGCATCATATGTTAAGATCAGTGTGGGAGTGCCCTTTTTGGGTTTACTACGTGAGTTGTCCAGTACCGATGATGTATTTTAACCTCACTGTGGGAGTGTCTCTTACTTTGAAACCTTGTATTTGACCACTGCTATCCATAAAGGTTTTTAGAACACTTTATTTAAGATATGAAACAGACAACATTAGAGTAAGATAAACTACATTTTAAGTTTTAAACTGTAACTATCAATGGTGAATGTCTGGATTAACTTCATTGGTAGATATTTAATTTTGTGAGAACCAATTTATGTTTAATGGACAAAATGTTTGGAAAGTGAGGACCTCGTTTGGTCCTCACTTTTTCCTGACCTTTTATAGAGACCTTCAAAAAACAATTTGAAGGTTACTTGGTTTTAATGTTTGGGTTAGAGGTTAGAGGTTAGAGGTTAGAGGTTAGAGGTTAGGGTTATGGTTAGGCATTTAGTTGTGATGGTTAAAGTTAGGGGCTAGGGACTGCATCATGTCAATGAACATCTCACAATTGTAGAAGTATAGGGTAACAGATTGAACAATTATTTATTGTTCAATAACATTTGATGCAGGACGCACAATTTTGTAGCTTTGGAAGACTGATATCTCGGAAAGGTATAACATGTTTGATCTGCGAGAAAATAAAGATCCACTTCCTCGCTCTTTCCAGAGCTACTACATTTAATGGTCATCAACAGATGGAGTTAGCTATGTGTTTCTTTATTCTGGACCCAAGGAAACTAGAGGAACATGGCGCTTGTAATTGGGTAGTTTTATTAGACAGTATAATTGGCTAGTAAGTGGACCTTGAGTCATGCTTCATTTTAATAAAAAAATGTGTATTTATTTATATACTGAATGCAGTTTAATCTGGTTTTCATACAGTTTATTTAACCATATACATATTAAGTTACATACAAATATCACAATACAGCTTAGCAGTCAATTGTGCTTTAACAGGTTGCTGGTTTAATCCCCAGGACTGCAGGATAATGTTTATCACTGTAAGTATGATCAGGACCTCCAAAAAGAAAACATGGCTCTCCGTGAAATGTACATGAATTTACATTTACATGAATAAGTAAAGGCTTAAGAAAAATTGTCAGTGGAAATTAGTTATGGGATAGGTAACAATTAAACAAAATAGAGTAAAATAATTATTTTCATCTTTGATTCTTGTGCCTCAAATGTCTTCTCCTCCGCACATACATACACCATGATGTCAGAATTTACTGAGACACCATTTCCAAATGTTCAAATATGCATAACCCGCCTAACAAAATAATTTTGACTGGTCCAAATAAACCCCTATCAATCATTGAATGTACATGCTGGCAAGCTTTGTAAGTGTGGGTTTGTTACAGACTGCTTGTCAAACACATAACAAACCACTTCGTCATGCTTTATAATTTGTATATAGGCATATGGAAATAGTTGCTTTCGGATTTTACCTCATCGCTGTATTATATTACCATCATAAGAAAAATGTCAAACCGATACATTATAGGCTTTCTCTTAATCTAAAAATGTAAAACTCACATTCCCACCAAATAAACACTTTTGTATGTAATAGCAAGTGATGTATTCCCTTCCCTGGAAATATGTGACTTTTTTTGCTACTTTACAGTATTCCTCTACAATTTGACACAATTAGTCAAAGTTGTTAGGGGGATATTTACTTTGCTTTTTACTCTTATTCTAAATTCACAAAAAAAATCCCATCTTTTGATGTTGATTGGATATTTCTTTTTAGACTGCTTTGTTTCCTTCATAGTTGCTGACGACACTATTGCCTTTCTTTACGTAATTGCAACGCAACACTTGAGGATGCAACAATTTATTTTTAGGATTGAGGGGAGAGACAGAGAGAGGTTTGTGCACTCACTGGATTACAAGGTGGGTGGGCACTCTCTCCCTCTCTCTCCTCTCCGTCTCTCTCTCTCTCTCTCCCTCTCCCTCGCTCCCGAGCCTACTGTATAAATACAGATCTGTGATGGAGACCCCATCATACCGCAGTTCACTTTTACACAGTGGAGATGAGCGCACGGATAGCGAAATCCAACCCGGCCATGAAACTGATAGTGGTGAGTAAACACGAGTGGTCCGCTGGAGAAAAGGGACACTTCTTCCTGATGGAATGATTTCGTGTTTATTGTTTTGCGAGACTTGGATTATTATTACGCTACACGCGGTTTCAGATATGTCATAGAGTTGGAATGGGCATTCGCTTTATTCCCATTCCCGAGCAGTGCCCATCTGTACAGCATGCGTCTGTGCTGGCAATGTGATGTTGTTAAATGTATCACAGGTTGAATATTTAGTTACGGTGTCCCTGAAATTATGTATTTTTTTCTGGCTTTGACATTTTGTTGTCAATGGATCATAATCGGTCTTGTTTGAAATAATCACTGCTTTTGATTGTAGACCTGATCCCACGTGAGAGTTCATAGTTCCTATTCAGATGCGTTTTCCTATAGTCAACAGTACCTACTTGTAGTCACATTTTAAAAGGGCATATTTGTGTGGCGCATTGTAATGCCCATGAAAAAAGGTGTTAAGTATACTTGCATGACATTTTTATTAGGTAGATGGATTACTATCTGAAGGAACTACTACACCTAAACAAACGTATTTATGATGTGCATGGTATGGATCAAGTAACACATGACTGAAAATACAATGCAGCCACATATAGCAGCTCTGCAATATGAGTTTATACAGCTTATATATGTTGGGACTGTGTTGAGACGTTGATTCTAGTTTTCCATGTTTTCTGAGGCGTTTTTTTGTGTGTTTTTGTAATTTATTATAACAGTATGCCGTTAATGAAATAATTTAACCTGATGTAAGTATTTAAAGTAAGTCTCTTAGGACTGTATGATGATGACATCTTGAATAAAAGTAGATTATTCAATTTTTTTTTTAAATAGACTTGGAAGTTGTTTGCTTTTGATGATTTATTGAACTCATATTTCGCTCCAATTTTTATTCCCAAAATAAATACCCACAAAGTAGACTATACAAACAAGATCTACAATGCGTGAAAGTTTACTTTAGGTCACATTTCATTGCTTAGTCTATTGCACATTTGAAAATGAATGAAATTCAACACCCAATATAGAGGCATGCAGCATGTTTCCAGCAGGTGCTGCTTTCTCTGACATTGACATTACAATAATGTATTCTACCCTCCTCAGGGGATGTATGCCATCAGGGTGGGAGTCATTATTTCCCTTGGTGTTTTTTGCATGCAGTGCTGTGTTGGGGACTTTGCAAGTTTTGCATATGTGCATGAATAGATGTGTATCTGGGCAAAAAGAGATCACTGTAGCTACAAAACACTGGACCCACTATCTGCTGTGTGTGTGTGTGTGTGTGTGTGTGTGTGTGTGTGTGTGTGTGTGTGTGTGTGTGTGTGTGTGTGTGTGTGTGTGTTCCTATATTGTGACGCGAAAGGTCAGTCAATTATTTGGTTTGTAAGATGTGTCACTTAGTTGTTTGTAAAATAGCTGACATACATCATTTAAAGTGATATCGTCCACACTGAGTGTTGCGTCCACGGCACTGCTCTGTACTCCACCATTTACCTTAAATAGGCAAATATTTGTGTGAATAATTTCTGACATAGTGTTCCTCCATCATTCAGCTAGTCAGTCAGTCCGTCATTTGGCCAGCCGTGCAAGCATTGATTTAGCCAACTCATGAGTCAGACGTGTGCAGACTGCTCATTCTTACCATCAGCATCCAGCCAATGAATCAATCTGCGCCCCTCTGGATGCCCTGCACCTTTCTTCCACTTGACAAACAGCCAGTTTAATTTCATCCGTAAGAAATTCTAGGGACACTCTGCAATTGTGTGTTGCAAACTTTGTTTTGCCCTAGAGGTCCGTCAGTAAATGCACCTGTGTGCTCTTCCTGTTCCCCTGCATACTTCTGACTCATGTGGTTTGCGTTCTGTCTGCTGAAAACACATACTTTGTGTTTGCTCGGGATGATGTCAGTGGAACAAACTTTGGATGGAAATTGGACAACTCTATGTTGTGAGTCTTTTTTGTTTTTATGTGGACACAAGTTTCAAAATTCAGTGCGGGAGAAGTGAGGTTTAACCAGCTAGCCAATCAGACAGACAGCTAACCTGCATGAAAACTTTCCATCCAGCCACTAATCCCTATTATCTCCCTCGATCAGTGTCTTTCATCTGTGCTCCCTTTATCTTTACGCCTCCACTCTCAGTTTAGGCCGTTGGCATTAGCTGCACGAACTTCCCTAAATGTAGCCGCAGGTTCACACGCAGACAGAGGAGCTTAAGAGGTCACTCGGCCAAACAGACGCAACTTCTTTCTAGACAAACACTGAAGAAAAAGGGTGAGGAAGTAGGGGGATAGGGGGGAGGGAGACATACAGAGCGTGTGTGAAGGTACAGGATCAACATGTTTTAAACAAACAAGCACAAACGTTTATTCAGAAACAACGATTACCTCTGGAAGTTGCTCACGTCTTACTTCCCCTTTTCCATCAACAGTAGTATTGATAGCAGAAGTGTGTTTTTGTGTGTGTGTGGGTGTATTCTTGTTATGAACTCATTGATCTTGTGAGTGACTGAACAATTGTCTGAGACAAAGAGCAGAAACGGAATAGGCAAAAGAGATACAGCTGTTATTGCCTCAATCTCTTGCTGGTCTCTCTCTTTGTTTTATCTTACAACTGTATACATCGCATCAAAAACCGCCAGGCTGATCTGATGTAAAAGTCTGTATTGAAAGTGAGACTCACACTAGATATGTTTGATCATAAGGATTTTAAGAAGGATACAAACCAAATGTGTTGTTAATGACTGGTTTCATCTTTAGCAACTATTTCATAAACTCATGTTTTTCTTAATGTAAAATCTAAATCTGTAACATTACTACTAAATATAAAATGTAGAAGAGTAAAGTGCAACATTTTCCTATTTATATGTAGTGGAGTAGAAGTATACAGCAGAATATAAGTACAGAAACAAATGTGTTGTGGATTTGAATGCATTTGTTTCAAATGAGTGATACATCTGAATTAATCGACTGATTAAAGATAAACAAATTATCTGTCCTCCTTCACTGTTCAACATTTGGGCAGATTACTTTGTTGAATAATCAATCATTAGTTTGGTAAAATACATTTATTTTTTTTCTCTTTTCTTTTTCTAAAACCAGCAAAAATGATAATTGTTAATTGATGAATTGAGTAATTGTTTTTGCTCATAACATGAATGTTATATGTGAAGATAGTATTGCTTGGTTTATATTACAAAAGCAAACTAGCTAGGTTTAATTCACTGATCTTACAGTCATTATTTGACCAATATGTGCTAAACATTTGATAAAACCCATGTTCCCTAGAGCAGCAAATTTAAAAGACACACTTTAAGTTTGAGATGATAAAATGAGTAAATAAAGTGAGCCTAGCAGGCAATATTATTATTATTATTATTATTATTATTATTATTAATAATGTAATTTAATTATACAAACCTCAGGGATCCAGAATGGTAACAAGTCCCTCTCTGTCCCTATATAAGCGAAAAAGACAGATTCAATATTCACAGGACTCAACACACACACACACACACACACACACACACACACACACACACACACACACACACACACACACACACACACACACACACACACACACACACACACACACACACACACACACACACACACACACACATCCACACACACACACACACACACACACACACACACACACACACACACACACACACACAAGAGCTGGAATCCCCCCTCAGACCACCTGCGTTCTACAGTTAACTGAAGCCATGTGCCTGGTGGATAAGCTGGTTTGGTCCCTTTGTGCCATGGCTCTTCTCCTCATGCCATGAATTTAAACTGGCCTTGGGCTACCCAATCTTTGATTCTACTCCCTCTCTATATTTCAATGTGCTCTACTCTCATTGTAACTCCAAGCTTGAAGTCTGTTGGAAGTTGTATTGGGATCATTTGAAGACTGCATGTTACGGTGTTACATTTTTGTATGCCTACAGATGTTTTATTGGTTTACCTTTTTTCCATTTTTGCATTTATTGAGGGGACAAACAAGTAACTTCATCAACATTTTAATTTATATTTCCATTTGTATCATATCAAAACAAACCAAATTGTGTCCCTCATATAACACACACATGTATCTTTCTGCACAGTTTTTACTGTATCTTCCGGGAAATTCCTCTTGTGAAAAATATTTTATCTGGTCAATAAGCCCATTACCCGCCCAACATCTGTGGATGCTTATCACTTTAACCTCATATGGAAAGCATGTGTGTTCATTTTGAAAGACTATTTCCGTCAGGTGTCTGAACTCTTTAGTCCGCTCCAGCCCATCTATCAGGCAGCGCTCAAAGTGCAGTTCAGTCTGCTTTACCAAAGCACTTTTGAAAAGACAGAGTTTATAGAAAAACTAAAACTCTCATAAGTCCTACAAACCTGGTCTAGCAAAAAGTCATTTTCAGAAATTATGTCATTAATTGTAAGACATGTGTGCCAACAAAGTGGAAGATAAACGCACTGTGAATGACTTAGTCCACTAAACATCACCCTGGATTTGTTTTCTCCGCGTCTCTCCGATGTCTCTCCGATGTCTCTCTGATGTCTCTCCGATGTCTCTCCGATGTCTCTCTGATGTCTCTCTGGTGTTTCTGTGATGGGATGATCTTATGTATCACCACACTTCACAGGCTGGACTTGTCTTTGATTCATTCAAGAAGATAACAACGGTTAAGAACTACATGTTCTCTGTCAAGGACTTAAAGAGATTATCTTTGCTCTACATAAACTCAAGGTTTTCTCCCAGCTCACTTCAAAAGATATTTACTGGCAGTTTTCAGTTTACAAAAATGTATCAGATGAAGCCATTTTAACCCTTTTTTATACATTTACATAGCAGCTGCCCTGCCTTGGTCAAGGGAAGCTTTCTTAGGAAACATTATTAATACCTTCATACCTTCATCCATCCTTTACCAACAGCTGTTCATGTAGGATATGCCTCACTCTGATGATGCTAACAGTATAATTATGGCTGTCAGTGGCCGCTAGCTGCTGTGTAATTTGGGTTTCCAGCGGTTGTGCGTGATGTTGTCAGATGGCAGCTTCTAAGGAGACAAGAAGGGTCAAAAGTTCAATATTTCTTTTTAACTGCTGATCGACTAATTCACGCTCACCACAGGACATCTTACCAATAAGTTATTTCTTAAAAAGTTGACAGTTTTTCACATCTTCGGTAGCGGAAAGCTACTGTACTGGCTGCTTTGGCACAGTGTGGTCTGCCTGAGTGTGCCATAAGTACAAAACTAAAACATTGTATGTTGAGCAGCTTAAAGATGTGGTTGAAATTAATTATAAATGGCTTTGTTTTCATGCCAGCTTTTAAATCGAATAAGATAAAAGAATAAATAACAGGCGGCAAAGGTATTATTATGGCCATTAAACTGTTGAACTAAATTGTGCTTTTATTTCTTTCAAAGGGATTTTTTACCGACGGTCAAAGATTTTATTTCATAAAGTTATATCTCTGAGCATGTGCTGTTTTACATTATTTGTATTTACTCTTGCTCTCAATTGCTTTGCTCTGCACTGTATATTATGGCTGGAGTCAATCCAAACTACTGTGCTGTATGAAGGATATGAAAAACAATATGAACTGACCACTTCCACATGTGCTCAGGCTCATCGGCTCCCATGATTTCAGTCCTGCCAGTAAACTCATCCTCGAGCCCGAGATTAAATTCACTGGGACAAGTGTAACCGTAGCCAGATTTGTAAAAAACCCAGGTGACCCTCTGTCGGTCCCTGGCTCCATCCTCCTGATGTTTCTAAATTGATTGGATGTGGTCTCACGGCTTAATAGTGTGTATATACACTTCTTAATTTGAAGAGCAAGTCTGTGATTATGGGTTTCATTCCCGCTGAGGCCACCCATGCTACAAAAAAACAGATCCAGCTTTGGTACTGCTAAGCGAGTCACTGTGGATGAAAGCCATACACCAAAGGTTCTGCTAAGAGGTCGATCAGCTTTGCCGGGAAAACCTCTGCGCTCGCCAGGCTGTATGAAGCTTAGGTTTCTATTATGGTGTGTAAAACCCATTCATCTATTTTTATTATAATTTCAATTACCTCCGTTGCAAAAGCCAGCAGACATAGAAGGACCTGCATGTTTTATTTTCTGCGTAGTTCATCATTATAGGTTCAGAACGCCTTAAAAATAAATAAGGCTTAAAACCGCACATATACCGTTTATTAAATTATTAAAAGTGAACACAACACATACACATAAATGCAAATTGAGTAGATTTCAAAGGAAAATACCAATTTGGTTGTCAGAGACATATGCACACATATTTCCCAAAAATAGCATTCTTTCTCTCTGTTTCATGTTTTGTTTCACACACGCATACTCATAGTATATTGTGTCTTGTGGTTGCAAAGTTTTAAGGTGAATGTGATCAGTACAAAAACAGTCACGCAGGAAAGGAGATCAATGGTGTGTATCGGGTAAACTGTGTAGCAGAGGGGTGAGTGATTCTTATTCTGGTGGTGAATGGGGAAAGCCCAGTAACCTCCAACAGTCCTCTTTGTGAACAGCAGCCAGGAGACGAGACCGCAGAGCACACAGACCAACACTAAGGAAGACGAAGATTGGACTTGAACACTGACAAACATGCACACAAAGACATGCAGCAACACACATTCCTGCATCTGTACCCACATGCATGAATGTTTTGTAGTTGTTTGTAGTATAAATTCATTCATTTTTGGAAGATGCACTAACAAACATGGTGGAAAGCGAAAAACCACATACAAGAATACACACACACACACACACACACACACACACACACACACACACACACACACACACACACACACACACACACACACACACACACACACACACAAACTCAAAGCAAGGACAATCCATTGTTAGTTTGTCCAAGAAGTGAGGATATATCCGGGCCAACGGGAAAGTCCACATAGCCAATGGCTGAGGGACTTGAGGGTAGAATGACCCAGATGTGTGACATCTGGTCTGCATGTGGCCTCCACCGGCTGCATGGCTGCATGTCAAACACGCTCACCAACTGATATCTGGGATTTTAGGCCAAATCTCTACAGATCATGGTCAAACGATGATACATGGGCTTGTTTTTGAGTCACACGCTACATGTGTGTTTCAGAAGCCTCACTAACAGCCAACCACTTAACAGAGCGTCCATATCAATGGGATTGGGGTGGGGGTTACATGGGTGTGCCGTGTTTTGCCCTTCCTCCAGGGCAGTATTAAACTGCAGTAAATCACTGTTGAATTACTTCATATGCTATCTCCCTGAGCTGCTGCTGACAGGATAGGAGACGGCTGCTTCGGTCAGAGAACACAAAGCTGCTCATCCTCTAACCCTCTGTCATACAAATCCTTGAATTCAATATGTGCAAAACACTGGCATGACTAAAACATCTGCATTTATTTAAAATCTTCGGTTAACTTTTAAGATTCAAGAAGCAATGAAAGGAATAAAATACAATATGATGTTTAATTGAACAAATAGCAATAATGTAATTGTGCTTGCAGAATTCAGCATCCTAGTTTAAGGCAACACGGAGACAATATTTCTTCCAAGAAACATGCAAAGATTAAAAATGTACTGTTGTTGCCTCTGTGCAGTGATCCACGAAACGGACACAGATTTCTCTCCTCAGACTCCCTGAACGTCTCTATAAAGCAGAAGAAATCGCTTTAGGACTGTGTGTCCACCAGGAGCTTTAACTTTAAAGCTCTGACCTTTCTTTCAACTCTTTCTTACTGGAAGCTTTGGGTTGGCGAGTGCTGCAAAATGTAATAATATTTGGACATTATTCCAAAGAAGAGCTGTGCACGAGATGGGTTTCTTTAGAGATGTTGTCACTGCTGTGGACTCTGTATTCAACACACTTCTTTCTTTCTTTTGCAGCTTTTCACAGCATCTTTCTCCTGGGCCTTTCAGCAGCAGGACATACTGCCAAAGTACCAGTACCTCGACCCTGTGACCTCTGACCTCCTGCTGTGCGACCAGTGCCCTCCTGGCACCGCTGTGAAGCGACACTGCACCACCGACACACCCACAGAGTGCCAGGTCTGTCCTGAGAGGCATTTTGCTGAAAACTGGCACTGGGGGGACACCTGCCAATACTGCACCTCGGTACGTATGAGGCCAAAAGGTTAACCGAAGGTTCATTTTGATCTCTTTTGTGTGTGTCAACTTCATACATACAATCATACACATCTTCATTCACATCACAGTCAGGAATTCCACTAAAGTTCAATCTGCTTTTAAAGTTTTTATCTACTCCTCTGTGGTTGTCCAATGCCTTTTCATTAGTTGCATGACTTTACGGTTTGTTTACATTTTGGCAAAGCATCTGTTATTTTCGGAAACCGGTGTTTCCACTTTAGTTGTTGTTTCTAAAAATGAAAGTTTAAATGTGCTCATTGTGGTGTTGGGATCTTCCCCCACAGTTTAGATGTGTTCCTCTTTGCCACTCTGAATTATGTCATATCTATTTTAACATATTCCCCAATTTATATTCCTGTTCTAGTATTCAGTTCTAGTACAGTATCCAGACTTTCTTACGGCACTTTCTTTACTCACGTGTGCTCTCTGATCATATATGTGCATGTCAAGCAGCCTTTATTGTATGTCACTGTGTGCATGCAGCAGCACTGTTTCAATGTGTGTGTGACTGTGTTGTGTTCAGGTGTGCAAGGAGCGACAGCTTGTGAAGCAGCAGTGCAACAGCACCCACGACCAGCTTTGTGAGTGTGCTCCAGGTTTCCACCTTGTGGTGGAGTTCTGCATTACACACAGCTCCTGTCCACCCGGATACGGAGTTACAGCTTTAGGTAAGTTTAAGATTGTTTTTAAAGAAAATATTAAATATGTTATGTTGTTGGTTTCCTGCCTACTAGGTCATATAAATAAGATTCAAATTGGAGATTTCTGGTTATAAGTAGGCATCCATACTGTCCATATTGAAATTCAGTAAGCACACATCCTAGGAAGAAGCACGGACAGGGTCCCATTGCCTCATTGTTATCATTTTACTCACAGGGTCATAGTGTATCTGTTATATATGCAGTTTTTCTGTTGTTATTGTTATACCGTGCAGTGTGTAAGTCTCTCTGTATTTTGAGTAGATACCCCTTACTACATATTTATATTTCCTTTAATCTTCTCATCTTATGCAATACTCTCCCTGAGTCTCACTCAAATCAGTTAAATTCCAGATATGCTTCCTCAGTAAGGAAACAAAATAACAAAGCAGACTCACATCAGTTACAGAACAGCATATTCATATTAAGATGTTGTCTCCCTTGTATCACTGAAAGCTCTTCTCTTTCTATCTCTTCATCTTTCTTTGATTCTGTGAATCTGATCTGTTCCAGATGCAGACGTCTCTTTTCCTAGAAACAACTTCTACTTTTGAATTGTCTCGGACATTTCCTAGAACCACTCTTTGTTTGTCTTTCACCGAGACACAAAGTTTGGTTTAAAGCTGTCTGTAATAGTTAAACATACAGTATAAAACACAAAAAGGACATGGCCATTAGTCTGGTTTTTTATGTTTTCTTATTTCTCTGTCTTCTAGCAGAGACATGTAGTATGCATTTACATGCCATATAAACGCTAAAGTTTTGTTTTTCTATCAAGAGAAATTGTGTGTTTGTGTGATTGTAAAAAAAACATTTATGCACGTCTATCTTGCACTTCCACACCTGACCAACTCTGAGTTTGGGCAGTATTGGCTGAAACTTCACAGTTAAATTGTCGCATCACTGATACATCATAATCCTGTCCTAAACTATTCATTGCAAACAGTTGACAGCTTTGGCTTGTCACTTGAATTAAAATTATTATAAATGAAGAAACTATGATGATTAGAGTGATGAGGGAGAAGTTAAAAATGTGTATGGCCTTTGAGAATAAAGACTCAAATATTCCTGAAGAAAATGGCGCTATGGAAATGAAAAAGTCACCCTGATGTGGTTATACTTTGGAAAATGATTACATATTTTCCATGAACTTAATTACTTTCAAATACAGCACTTATTTCCAGCATCATTTCGTTCCATTTAGGCTCCAATTCCTGTCACGGTATCACCATGTGACGCATATCCATATTATTCATAGACACATGCTGTCACAGCCCTCCATGGGGGCTGACTGCATCTTTTAAAAGATCAACATTTATCCTTTTCCCTCTGTGTGCCATGTATAAAAATAATGATTTTATTATATGACTTTACTTACTCATAACGCAATATGTTCTACTTTTAATTCTGATCTAACTACTTACTATTTCTGGGAGGGCGTGTCAAAGAGGCAGGCATTCAAATTAAGTGTTTCAGACAAAGGGTGAATATATGTACTGTATACTGAGACAGACGTTGTTAGAAAAAATAATGTTTTTTTTTTTCAAGTCAAAGCATGTCAACATGTTCTAGTAATAACCATAAATACAAGTTTGAAGCTTAACAAAAGCACGATATGCCTCCTGCATGTACTGTAGGGCTCAGTTGCCATTTATTTTTTAGTTCCTATTTGCAGTAGAGTATCACACGACAATGCAAAAAGTATTCTTCACTTGTTCCTCTTCATGCATGATAGAACAATTTAACAGCTTATTTAAAGAGGAAACTTTAAATATAGGGATCAGTTTATAATGTCTCGGTTAAACGGCACAACCTTTCATTCCTGAAGTTGTGCTTCCTTTTTTTAATTCACTGCAGATTGTCTGGCACAGACTCAGATATATTGCAGAGGATAAAGATTTATTTATGTTTGCACTGTATGAGAATACTGAACCTCTCTCTTACAGATTGCATGAATGAAAAAAGTATTTTGAAGGGGTATTGATTTTGTCTTTAGCTCAGACTGCTATTGTTTGAATCCCAATAAAAAGACAATGAAAACCATTTCACTGTAATGTATATAAAATGATTTTCTTCCTCGAAAGAATGACATACATTTGACGAGACAGAATCTCCAGAGACAAAAACTGTGTCTTGGTCATTTGTTGCCAATACAGCACCAGATGCAGTCTTGGCTAATCTTTGCGCCAGATGCACCCAAGGATGTAATTATCATGGCGGATATCTGACCTGATATTCCTCACAGATTCTCTCCTTGGTGCGTCAGTAGTGCTTGTGGGAAACTTAAAGAGAGGTTGATGCTAAATTTCAAGATTCCCGTGAACAGAATCTGATATTTCTACTGAAACCGCAGCACAAACTGGCACTGCGCTTCTCATGACTTCATCTCAGACCTGAGTGGATTTTAGCGGCTGCATAGATGAAACAACATTTTCCATGGTTTCTGGTCATTATGCGACCCCTGTAAGCGCTGGCACCATACTGAATATGAAACAACATTTTCCGTGCATTCCTAAAAAATGGATATAAAATCAGACCCTAATGTCTATGACACTCTGCAGACATGAGACAGCATTTCAGGGGATTCCCCATGAAGCTGAAGGACTTATTATGTAATGTCTTCAGTTGTGGTTTTAGGTCTTTAAACCACAGGATGTCAGAAACCCATTGGTTGACATTACTTTTATGACTCCGTTGCTCGATTTCCTGAATTGTCTGTTTCTTGTTGCGATTGTTTTCTCTCTCTCTGAACGCAAGATTTAAGGTTGCAGCTGTGTATTTGGAAACTATTTTGGTGTCATCTTAGAAAGGCACAGTAGAACATGATATACAATACCAATAAAATGTACATTTATAATAGGTCTGCAACCAGCAATTATTTAATGATCAATAGATCATAATCTAAAAGTGTAAGAAGATTTTTGTACTGTATTTAACCAAATATTTTCTTGCACAAGATTAAGACTGATAGACAGATAAGAGACTATTAAAAATATATCTAAAAGTAAGATAGGAACTAGGGCCATAGAGGTAATAATCTTACATTTCTCAAACGGTTATATCTAAGTCTACTCTGTCATACATTTTTTATATTTGCATTGGTTCACGAGACAATTTATTTAATTAATACACCCCTTATTAAATAAAAACAGAGCTGTCACCTCTGCTTCAGATAACATCTAAAGATATATCTTACGTGGGTTAAGTGCTAACATGCTGATTCTGCATTTACAGAGGAAATTCTGAGAACAAAACCAAGATTAATGCCAGCATGTGCAACCTCATTACAGTTAGGCTGGCTCATTCTTGTACATCACAGGTACAGGAAACATTTGCACGTTTACTGTATGCATATCAGTTAGTGGTTTCATGGTTTAGTGCTAGTTTGTGAAACTGTGCAACGATGGAGGGGAAACTCCTCAAAGGTCAAGCCTCCTCCCACACATTTTCTTTTCTACGCTTTAGTGATTGAAAAAAATAAGGATGTGAGAAATACCTACTTCCACAACATGGTCATGTCCTCGTGTGTGCTGCATGTCACAAACCACAAGGTCTATTGGTTTACTCCAGTGTCATTATGTGTGGTTAAAACTAGTTGGCATTTGGTAAAATGTCAGTAAATGGGTACAAATATTTTAAATGTGATCAATTGTGGATAACGTATTTAACATTACATCGTAAGGGTAACATTTTCAGTGAGGGAATTAACAAAACATTTAAAAATAAAAAGAGTTATTAAATTCTTCTATAAATTCAGATATTATTAGAAAATATAAGTGTTTCGTCATCTTCAAGTCAATAAAATATGATTTTAAATAAGTACATTTTTAAGGTTATTTTCAATGAGAAGTTGACCTTCTTAATAGCCTTTTTGGCAGATGTTTCTACATTTTCATTTTGTCAGTAAGTTAGTCTGAAAAATCTGCTGACAAATCAAACTCTGCGGTTACATATTTCCCATTTGAATACAGATATAAGATATAGAAACTCTGGGGGTTCTGTGTGAGTCATACCCAACATCACAGTCATCTTCCACCCTGATGTGCTCTCATGTTGTTGTGATCATAGTTCTTGGAATCACATCACCTCGATGTCAGCTAGTATTTGCAGCAGATCATGTTCACACACAGAAAAGGGCGAGATGTGCTAAATAAGATGTTTGATTATAAAGATAAGAAACATCGAAAGGGCTGCTGACTTCTCACGGTTCAAAATGTGATACACACACTTCACAGATGTGTTTCATTCATAAAATTAAGACATGATCCTGTATTTATCTCTTCCAGGTACACCGGTGAGTGAAACCACGTGTGAACGTTGTCCCGCGGGTCATTTCTCAAGCAGGGACTCCTCTACCGAGCCATGTCTGCCCCACAAAAACTGCTCCGGTTTGGGCTTAAAAACACTGAGATGGGGCACGTCTACTTCGAACAGCCTCTGTACAAACAAAACGGCTTCTCCGGAGTGCTCTCAGCAACATTCTTTGTGCCAAACTGGTAAGAAAAATCTCCAGCCGGTTTTAATCGTTAATAAGATTCATATGGAGGTTTCAGGACTATTGCGGGTAGGAATCAGAGAAGAGACTGTTCGTACAGTGTTTACACACACACACACACACACACACACACACACACACACACACACACACACACACACACACACACACACACACACACACACACACACACGCAAAGATGTTTCTGAGCAAACCTCAATTGTCAACAACCTAAAATCAGCCAGAGCTGAATTATTTCAGACATGTGGTCGTTTTCATTCCTGAAGGCAGGGGATTTCCTCGGTCAGGTCCGTTGTCAAGATTCCATTCTTTTACAAATTCTTACGTGCCTGAAAACCAACACAAGTGAGAAAATCCAAAGCAAAGGGGTTGGATGGGATGTTTATGCCCCTACTGTCATAATCACCCACGATGGATCAATTACTTTGTTAACTGTCACATCCTCACCCTACAATAACAGAGGAAACTGAGTCAAGCACAGAGACACACAACAAGATGGTAAGTCTTTGTTACTCAGATTCTAACTATGACAGATGTTGACAATTAATTTAAGAGGAGAAGCCTCAAATATGACATTGAATTCCCACAGCCCAGAAAAACCACAGTCCCTGGCAAACACAAACACACACACACACACACACACACACACACACACACACACACACACACACACACACACACACACACACACACACACCCTGACACACACACCCTGACACACTCATGCAAACCACTCTTGGTAGGAAACCCAAAAAAGCTGTTGTCCCTAAGGCAGGGTGATGCTCTCCTAAAACATTCATTCACAAATTGCCTTCATGTGGATTACACAACCACTGATTGTCTGCAGCAGATCCTGGAAGAGTAAAGCAGGGTTCTTTACAAAGAATAAGGAAATTGAAAGCAGTTGGGATTACCAAAGTAGCTACGTGATTTGAAGAAACCACCAGGACATCAATGTCAATTATAGAGCAAGCCACACTCCAATTATCCAGACATCAGAGAAACAAGCCTAATATCCTCTTCACATTAAACTCAACCATACTACAACGACATCGGTTTTACTAAATGTTTCTTTTAATTTAACACACACGAACACAGAAATGCCTATAATCGTGTGAAAGTTGCAATCTCACGTCAACAGTTTCACTTCATTTTCCTCTATGACTGTTCTGTGTATTACGGAAATCCTTCTGTCTGCAAAAAATCCCTACAAGGACAGCCCAGGGGAAAAAATGTAGGGAACGTAATGACGAATCGTGAAGGTGCTTGTGTAGTGGAGTGTGATTCAGCCGTAAAGAGCAGCACATTTTCGCACAGCTCACCTCACTGCTTCAGTTCAATATGCAAACATCGTTGCTATGTTGAAACATAAACTAAAGTTAATAGTGGTTGTGTGATTTCAATAGAAAGAGACCAAATCATTTCTTCTGCTGTGGTTGAATTACAACCCAACACACAAATACGTACGTGTGTAAGCTCCTTACACACCAAAACTGACACCAAAGAACACCAAAGAACACGTCCCGACGGAACGTCGCCTCACGTCGCCTCACTTCGCCTCACGTCGCCTCACGTCGCCTCACGTCGCTTAACGTCGCCTCACGTCTCCTGCGTCTTGGCCATGTTTCGCACTGGAACGCACCGCAAAGACTTCAGCGACA